TCTTCAAGAACTAAATGGTTTAGCTATGGGGCGTATCTTGCAGTCTAATCATGCGTGCACTGATATTTGTGATCATATAGCAGATGAAATGAGAAAGAAACTTGTTAAATATATTATTGATAATGATCTTAAGTAGGTTTCATGATCGATGAGACTTCTACTCAAAGTAAAAAAGAAGCTCTTGTAATCTGTTTACGTTGAAGACTACCTGATTCCATGGATGCGAGTAGTTATCTTTTGATATAGTGGAATTAGAAAATACTACAGCTGCAACGATCAGGGACGCATTTCTCAACAATATCAAGAGTAACGCATTTCGCAGTGACTTTTTATCACGAAATTGGATTTCATTTGCTTGTGATGGGGCCTCTAATTTACTTGGAAGGCATACACATGTTGCCAACTTTTGCTCCAAATGTATCCTCAATTGATTGTTTGGCATTGTAGCAGTCATTGATTAGAAATAGCGGTGAATGATACAGTACGGGAAATGTCAGCAATGTGCCACATGCAATCATTTTTTGATAAACTCTATTCCGTTTACAGCGTGTCTCCAAAGAACAAATCTGAATTAGAAACTGTTGCTGCACAACTGAGTATGAGATTAAATACCATAGGACGAGTGTTAGGAACGACACGTTGGGTATCGTCTAGTGCGCGGTCTGTGAGAGCCATATGGAATAATTACCCTGCTCTTTATAAGCATTTTCACAATGCGTCTGTAGACCCAAAACGCACGGGAAGGGAGAGAGCTCAATATTCTGGATTTAAAAGAAAATTAAGCGACTTAAACTTTGTTCTAAATATGGAACTTCTTTTCGATGCTTTAACAGAACTTGAACACCTGTCTTTAAAATTACAAGAAAAGAAAATCACATTGCCTGAAGCACATCATTTAGTTCTTGTTAAGTATCACGTCTTTCAGTCCATGGCAAATAATCCAGGTGAATATTATTCTGAAGTTCTAACGGCTGCTGATAAATTAGGATTTAAAGGAGTTAGCTTAGAACATGGAAAAGTGCAGAAGATTAGTGGACAACAATTCTTTCAGAAATTAAGTGACAATATAAACATCCGAATGTTCACCACTAGAGCTTCACACGAATCGACTGGAAGTTGTAACACAACATGGTCAAACAGGGACAAATACAGTCAGTTACTGGACAACTTGAAAATAGTGGATAAGGCTAAGTGGGTAAAATGTCAAGATCCATGTTTTGCTGATAAAGAGATTAGGGAACTCGCTGAGTCATTTATGGTGTGTAAGAAAACTTCAGATCATGGATTTCATGAATATAATGAATGGTGAC